TTGGTCGACTCGCCTGCGGAGTGGGCAAGGATCGTTGGCCACTTGTACTCGCTCGGGATCGTGGAGGCCATAGAGGACGAGCAGATCTTTCGGGCGGGCGGCGTCCCCGTACTCAACGGCGCCTTCGCAGTTGAGAAAAGGGGCGTGCCCGAGGCTGGTGAGCAGAGGCAGTGCCGCTTCATCATGAACATGGTGCCAGCGAATAGCTACCTGAAGATCATGACCCAGGACCTGTCGGCGCTGACGGCCTCGACCTCTTGGGTTACGGTGGTGTTGGAGGGCCAGCGCGTCTTGCTCTGGTCGGGTGACGACCAGCAGGGCGCCTTCTTTGTCTGGAAGATCCCGCGGGCTTGGCGCAGCTTCACGACGCTGAAGGGCCGCGTCCCCGGCCGCCTCGTGGGCCGCCCAGATCTGAAGACGGTGCATGTGTGCTCAGCCGTTATACCGATGGGCTGGCTGCTGGCCGTCACGTTATTCCAACACTTTCATAGACGCCTGGGCCTGCGCCCTCCCCCCGCTGGAGCGGGCCTGCCTGAGATTGATGAGTGGAGGAGGGACAAGCCGCTCCCCATTGCTCAGGTGGGCGGTTGCAGGTCTTGGTACCAGTTCTTCATCGACGACTTCGATGCCCCCAGGATCGTGAACGACACCGAGGGGGAGGTCGGCGTCGGCTCTGCTTACCAGAAGCGTCAGAGGGCTTCCTACCAGCGCAACGGCGTGGCCTGGGCCGAACGCAAGGCCCACCTCGGGGAGACGAAGGTCGAGAGGATGGGCGTGCTCGTGGATGGTCTGCGCGGGCGCGTCTCGGCACCTCTCATGAAGCTCTTCGAGACCATGCTCTTGGGGGCCCTGCTGGTGACCAAGGACTGGGTCTACTGGAAGACCATGCTCGTGCTCCTGGGCAAGCTCGTCAGGGCTTTGGAGTTCAGGCGCGTCCTCTTCTGCATCCTTAACGAGGTCTGGAAGTTCGCGGATGGCACTCACTCTGGCTGGGTCAACTCGGAGATGACCGAGGAGATCCTCAGCGGCGTGGGCCTCCTCCCGCTTGCCTTCACGGACCTTCGCGCGGAGGTCGATGCGAGGGTTACCTGCTCTGACGCCTCGGAGGATGGTGGAGGCGCCTGCACGTCGCTGAGGCTGTGCCCCGAGGCCCTCTCGAAGCTGACGGCTGCTGCCGCTGCAGGCCAGGAGGGCAGGCAACACCTTATGGCGGGCCGCCTGCTGCTGGGCGAGGCGTCGCTTTGGCGAGCGTGGGAGTCGAGGAACCCTGGTTTGCCGCCCCCTGCTGGTGATAAGATACCTGCTGCCCTGGTCATAGGGCTGTTCGACGGCATCGGGGGCATGATCGTCTCGCTCTCAAGGCTCCGCACGAAAATCATTGGCTACGTCTCGTCGGAGGTTGATCCCAGCGCGCGCAGGGTCGTCAGGAAGAGGTGGCCCGGCCTCATCGACTGGGGGAACATCCAAGACGTTGGGACTCAGCACATCGACAAGCTGGCCCAGCTCTTCGGCGGGATCGTCGACGTGGTCTACTGTGGCGCCGGCAGTCCGTGCCAAGACCTGTCGAGGCTGATGTTCGGCAGGAGGGGGCTCGAGGGCCAGAAGAGCGCTCTCTTTCGCGAGATACCGCGAATCCTGGGGCTGCTGAACGCCGCGTTCCCTGGGAAGGTCCGCTCCCTCGTCGAGAACGTCGCCTCCATGCCATTCGAGGACATCGAGCGCATCTCTAGCGAGCTCCAGGTCACGCCCTACCGGTTCTGCAGCAGCTGCCTGGTCCCCAACAGAAGGCCGCGGTTGTACTGGCTCTCGTGGCGGTTGCTGCCGTGCAAGGGCTATAGCTACAAGGACAGGGGGCACTTCGTCGAGGTCATCTCCGACGGCGCGGCGCGCGTGGAGCTGCCCTGGACCTCCCCTGGCTGGATTTGGAATGGTGGCCCGCTGCCTGTGCCGACGTTAGTCTGTGCTAGGCCCTCTTTGTTACAACCTACTCGACCTGCTGGGGTTGCTCGGGCCAGCCCCGAGGCGAAGGCTCGCTGGAAGAAGGACGATCATCGTTATCACGTCGGCCTTTACGAGAACGCCTGCCTACTCCAGCATGAGGCCACCATGGAGCTCCGCCCCCCATCGGCAGAAGAGAGAGAGGTCCTCTTGGGGTTCGATCGAGGATACACCGAGTGTGCCGTAAAAGACGGGTCTGGCTCGAGCCTCGAGACCACGCGCTGCTTCCTGCTTGGGAATAGCTTCTCAGTCTATGCGGTCTCATGGCTGCTGCAGCACTCCCTGGTCGCCGACGAGTTCCAGCCACAGCTGTGGGAGCCCCATGCCCTGTGCCACACGGGCAAGTGCAGGGCCCCGTGGAACGACAGCGCGGTGTACCACCAGGGCGACGACTACCAGCACGAGCCCGAGGCGGAGCAGCTCGTGCGGCACTACCTGTCTATCGCGGAGAGAGGGGGCACGGACGTGCGCTTGGACGTGCACCTCCCGTTCCGGCACCGCGCGTGGCCGCGCGTGTCGCTCGAGCCCAGCGTCTGGACGTGGAAGGTGATCTCAAGTTACCGGTGGCGTGCTGGGATCGGGAAGCACATCAACGCCCTCGAGATCCAGGCGGCCGTGAACACCATCAAGTGGAGGCTGCGGTCAGGCACGGGCCGCCCCAGGCGCATGCTACACCTGATCGACAGCCAGGTCGCCGCTTCGGTGCTGACGAAGGGCCGCAGCAGCAGCAGGGTCCTGCGGATGCACGTCAAGCGCTGGGGGGCCTTGTGCTGGGCGACAGGCTGCTACGTCATGCTTGGCTATATCGCGTCGGAAGACAACCCCGCCGACGCGCCATCCCGAAAGGTGTGGCAGCTAAGAGGCTCTCGCCGCAAGCCCAGAGGCTCCAGCGGTTGCGAGGCTCCCAGAGGCTCTCTGATCTCAGGGTCAGCGCGGTCACGCTCAAGAGGTACCGTATCGCCGTCGCGGAGTTCCTCGCCTTCGCCATCGAGGGTGGCTTCCCGCTGAACAGCTCGGCCGAGGCGGACAGCGCGCTGGGCGCCTACGTCGAGGACCAGTGGGCGAACGAGGGCACGCTCAGCCATGGGCGCTATGCGCTCGCCGGTTGCCTCTTCTTCGCCCCCGAGCTCCGCACGGCCCTGCCCTTTGCGTGGTCCCTGGTCAAGACGTGGCAGAAGCTGACGCCCATCAATCGCGCCTATCCGGCCAGTCCCGAGATGGCGCTCGGGCTTGCAGGCGCTGCAGTCTCGGTTGGCCAGCCCCTGTTGGCTGCCCTGGTCCTCGTCACGTTTGATGCGATGCTTCGGACCAAGGAGCTGCGTGATCTTACATATGATGATATCACGTTCGCCGAGGGCGGCGTCATACTGCGCCTGTCGGAGACGAAGATGGGCGTCAGGACCGGCAAAGTGCAGTTCGTCGTGGTGCGAACGCCCGCCGCAGTCAACTTGCTGCGGGTTGCTGCGGAGCGCGCCCAGCCGACGGACCACCTGTGCCCGTACACGTACGTGCAGCTCCAGCGGCTTCTGAAGTCGCTCCTCGCTGTCGCCTCGATCCCGCCTGCACGCTGGTCCTGGTACAGCTTCAGGCGGGGAGGCGCCTGCCATGACTTTCTCTTGGGCGCTAATCTCGAGCGCACAATGCAGCGTGGGAGATGGAGTGCCGTGACTTCTGCACGTGTGTATATCGAGGAGGCTGTCGCCGACCTTGTAGATGTCTCAATGAGCCAGCTCTCGAAAGATATATTGAGCCAGCTTGGCCTAATGCTACTGAATTCCGGCTATAGCCAGTAAAAGGTGTGTATGGAGAGGCCGCGGCGGCCACCCTGGAGAGTTTTTTCCTTCGGTGGCGGGCCCCCCGCTTGTACCGTGCCCTCGGCCTTGGGACCCCTGGGCCGCTCCGTGGGTCCGTGGTTCGGGCGCCGTGACCCTCGAGGAATCGATCTGACTCGAACTCTCACGTGTCCTGGGAGCGCGAGGGTGGTGCGAGTAGCGGGGGGCCCCGCTGCGTAAAAACCTCAACACAGCTGTCTGGCACAGCTGCGAGATCTTAACCAGTGGCGAATGCGCGACCAAAACGAGATCAGACTTATGACTACAGGTCATTGGGGTATCTCGGGGGTCCCGCGAAATCGCCGATCTTATCTCGCAGCTTTCTTGCTCTGCCATCCCACATCCACCCGAGCAAGTAGGAGAGAGGCCGCGGCGGCCACCCTGGAGAGTTTTTTCCTTCGGTGGCGGGCCCCCCGCTTGTACCGTGCCCTCGGCCTTGGGACCCCTGGGCCGCTCCGTGGGTCCGTGGTTCGGGCGCCGTGACCCTCGAGGAATCGATCTGACTCGAACTCTCACGTGTCCTGGGAGCGCGAGGGTGGTGCGAGTAGCGGGGGGCCCCGCTGCGTAAAAACCTCAACACAGCTGTCTGGCACAGCTGCGAGATCTTAACCAGTGGCGAATGCGCGACCAAAACGAGATATATATATATATATATATATATATATATACACACACGTAGATATTGGGGCACCCATCAAATGCAATACAACACAATGCAATGCAATACAACACAGTACAATACAATACAATACAACATGTCGGAGTGTTGGCCCCCCCAGCCCCTTGCCGGCACACAGTGACAAATGGGCCCCCCCCAGGTGCCCCGCTTTGGCCCCCGCGGCCCGGGTCCCATGTTCGGCTTTTTGCTGGGCGGTTTCGCTTCCGAGAGGGGTCACAGGAGGCCGCCCCCAAGAGGGCCCCAAGAGAGGACCCCAGAGGCCGAGGCCGCCAGGAGGCTCTTCCGAGGGCCCAAGAGACCGCCGAGATCCTCCCAAGATGCCCCAAGGGGCCCCCAGAAGCTCCAAAGACACTTCCGAGAGGCTCCCGAGAAGCCCCCCAAGAGACCCGAAGAAGCCTCGAAGAGGCCTCCCGCCCACATGCTAGACAATGTTCCCAGAGTGGTTAGGTACTCCATATCATTTATTGGACGTCCATACCCCTACAAACGCTCTTCGCAATTCCAGCGCCTCCTTGACATTATGCCTCCTTCCACGGGGCGTTCTTCAATGACCTGCCCCTCCAGCCGAACTGAGAATGAATGGATGTTCTCAAGATGTTCCGTAGCCATTATGGCTCAAGCCAGTTTGCCTCAAATCTGGCTGAAGCCACCGATCGCCGAGCGAGAGCTACACATCTCATTCATCGTACTGAACACTCGGAACGTCTGAGCGCAGTGACTCTGTACCGGTGCAATGGAATCCATTTGGTTGATGATTGTATATTTATTGTCGTCGTTAGTTGGAGGCGCCGCGATGAGCATCACATCCATGAGTTCGGACGCACCCAACAGTTATGAAGCTGTGAACTCGACAAAACCAAGCCTTGGCACCAGCCTCCTAGAAGACAATCAACGGTGGGGTTGCTAGTGTGGGCTGCTCTTCCACAGTGTCTATGTACGAGCACTACCTGTCGTCGGGGTACGGGTGCGAGGGTTCCAACACTGGCGCTGTCATTTCGTACAGTACTGTTGGCGCATGGATCAACGTCATCTCTGGTATATCGTCTCTCGTCCTCAGCGGCTCCGGCACGATGATCACTAATGTGAACCTAGATTGCACGTACACGCCAGGCGCTTATTGCCACCCTTTGCCGACTGGGAATGATAACATCGGATCCGTACTCCTGAGTTGCGCTGGCTCTCCGTCTCCGAAGCCCTACCCGACGCCCTACCCGACTGCCTTTCCGACGCCCTTCCCGACTCCAAGCCCGACGCCCTATCCGACGCCCTACCCGACGGCCTTTCCGACGCCGTTCCCGACGTCCAGCCCGACGCCCAGCCCGACGCCCAGTGCGGGCGGAGTCGGCGGAAGCGTTGCTGCTACAGGCGATCCCCATCTGCAAAACGTTCTTGGCCAGCGGTTCGACTTGATGAAGCCGGGCAAGCATGTCCTGATAAGCATCCCCCGTGGAAGGCATAAGAACGCATTGCTGCGTGTGGAGGCCGATGCGCGTCAAGTGGGTGGACAATGCGCAGACATGTATTTCCAAGAGTTGAATGTCACAGGGGAGTGGGTGGAGGCGACAGGGTCTGGCGGTTTCAACTTCAAAGCTCAGGGAGTGCATGATGAGCAGCCGAAGTGGTTAAAGTTTGGGAAGGTGCAGGTTAAAGTTGCCCATGGGCGCACTCTGACCGGAGTCTGGTATCTGAATTTCTACGTCAAGCATCTGGGATTGTCTGGCTGTGCTGTCGGAGGATTACTAGGAGAAGATGACCACACTGAGGCAGCGATGCCCTCGGAGGCTTGCGTTCACTACGCGTCCCTGTTTAAGGTGCTGCCCGATTCGTCTCAAAGCGCACCCGTCTTCTCAGTTGCCGAGGCGAGCTTCGCTTGATGACCCGTGCGTGGGACGAGGTCCCAGCGTAATCATAATATACGGCCAGTGCCGCCGTCCCTGGAAGAAGACCCCCATGATGAAGGTGACAGGGTGGGGGAGGGGGTGAATATTTGGCACAAGCGTTCCAGTCTTGACGTTCGCATGTGTGGCTCGATCAGCGACAGGCGTTCGAACATTCGCTTCCCGTTCTTCTCAGGTCAGGTTTCAAGGTAGCGCGGTCTGGAGCGCAACAGGCCTACTGCGTTGTTCCACCCTTTTTATACATTTTTTCCCTCAAACGGGACGTGGCCCGACATACAGAGCGCCAGAGCCCCGAATCATCAGGGGTAACTCGGGTCAGGGATAACTCGGGTTCGTTTTTCGGGAAGCCGAACCCGACTTACCCCGGACCCGAGTTACCCCGGATAAATCGGGCGTCCATAGCCCCGAATCATCAGGGGTAACTCGGGTCAGGGATAACTCGGGGTCCTTTTTCGGGAATCCAAACCCGAGTTACCCCGGACCCGAGTTACCCCGGATAACTCGGGCGCCCAAGAGCGCAAAACATGTTCTCAAGATGGGGAAGTCCGAAGGCCCCCAGGAGACCCCCAAACAACTCGCTCCTAAGATGCTCCCGAAGAGACCCCACGGAGGCCGGCCAGAAAGGACAAAGTGATAACTTTTGGGTGGTTTTGCGAAATATTGAAGGGTATTTGACAATTCATTTTGAGAAAGCAGATTTTTCGCACCTGTAAACGACTATGAGGGTCTCTGCGTCTTAATATGAGCTCTGTAGGCGCACATTTACTATCGAAACACTTGGGGGAACCAGAAGCCCCCACGAGGTCCCCAGAAGAGCTCCACAGGCGTTCCGGAGGCGCCCCCCCAGGTTTTTCCACGAGCCTCCCAGGGGGCACCGCCACAGATCCCAAGAGACCTTCACAGTGCCTCCTCCTCCTCCCTTCTCCTCCTCCTCGTCCTCCTCCTTTCTCCTCCTCCTCCTCCTTCCTCCTCCTCCTTCCTCCTCCTCCTCCTCCGCCTCCTCCTCCTCCTCCTCCTCCTCCTTCCTCCTCCTCCTCCTCCTTCCTCCTCCTCCTCCGCCTCCTCCTCCTCCGCCTCCTCCTCCTTCCTCCTCCTCCTCCTTCCTCCTCCCCCTCCTCCTGCATGTCTCCAGCCTTTAACGGCGGCCACCACGCCCAGACCTCGCGCGCTCGGGACGCGCGCCCCGCGAAGCGAGGACCCCTGGTGCAGTTTTTGTTTTGGGGGGGGGGGCGCGGGAGCACCAAGAGGGGGCACGACAGTGTCCTAAGAGGCCCCAGACGCCCAGAGAGGCTCAACAGCCCAAGGAGCGCCCGCTGTGAAAGTATCAAAGGTGGGGCACCAAGAGCACCAAGAGGGGGCACCACAGTGTCTCGGGGGCGGAAAAGAGGGGGGGGATGACTGGAGGGGGGTGGATATCATGGCGTGGGCCATGATATCTCCCCAGGTCTTGTGGCGCCTCTTCTTATTTCGTTACGTCCCTGGCCCCCCCGCTGGGCCGCACACATGCCGCTGGTCATGATTTGCACCCCCCCCTTCTTGGACACCCCCCTCTTGGCCGCTCCCGAGTATCCTAAGAAGCCCCAGACGCCCAGAGAGGATCAACAGCCCAAGGAGCGCCCGCTGCGAAAGTACCAAAGGTGGGGTCTTGCTAGAGCGTAAGCGGGTGTATTTTATCATAGGTCTCCCCGGGCGTTCCCATTATATACCCATCGGTTTCACGATTTATGTAACCGGAAACCACGGGACAGCCATGGGACAACCACAGCACAAACATCCGGACAATCATCAAGACAACCACCAAGACAACCACGTCAAAATCACAAAGGAACCATTCGACAACCATCGGAACAGCAACGGGTCAACCATCGCGACAACCACAGAACATTCGCGGGGCAACCATCGGGACAACCATCAGGTCAACCATAAGACAACCACAGGACAACCACGCGACAACCGCGGGACAACAATCGAGACTACCACAGGACAACCACGGGACAACCGCGGGACAACCGCGGGACAACCACGGGACCCCCCTGGCACGCCCCGGCCAGTTTGGCCCAGAGCCTTTTGAGTCATCACCTGGCATTTCGGCAGGAACTTGCACAGATTCGTCTCGCACGCAAGCCACGAACGACACGAACCGAATCCGAAATTGCTGTTCGGTTTTGCTTCTCGGATTCCAGATACAGGCGAAGAAGGGTAAGCAAGATAAGGATTAGGAGCAGCAGGCGAAGGAGGAGGAGGAGGAGAAGGCGGAGGAGGACGAGGAGGGGAAGAAGGAGGAAGAGGAGGACGAGGACGAGGAGGAGGAGGAGGAGCCTCGACTGGAGGAGGACGAGGGCGGGAGGGGAAGAGCAGGTGGGGGAGGGGGCGGGAAGGAGGGAGGATAATGGGGATGCAGGAGAAGAACATGCTGAAGACAAATAGGGGGAGGAGGAGCACGACGGGGAGGGAAAGAGCAGGAGGAGGAGAAGGCGGGAAGGAGAAGGGAGGAGGAGGTGTGAGGAAAAGGGAAGAGAAGGTGGAAAGAGGAGGAGGATGAGCGAGAATTTGGCCTATGCCTCCCTCCTCATCATCCTCCTCTTCATCATGATCTGCATCAGCATCAGCACCGTCATCATCATCCATCCTCAACAATAACGTTATCTTCCTCCTCCTTCTCATGAACCCTCCCCTTCCACTTCCATCAGCCCTCTTCCCTCCCTCCGTCCCATCCCGCTTGTTTCCTCCTTCATCCCCCTCCAACTACTGCTACGACTGCTATTACGACGAATCCTATTACTATTCTTACTAGTATGATTATTACTACTACTTCTTCTACTACTACTACTACTACTGCTACTACTACGATTACTACTACTACTACTACTACTACTACTACTACTACGACTACTACTACTACTACTACTACTACTACTACTACGACTACTACTACTACTACCACTACTACTACTACTACTACTACTACTACTACTACTACTGCTGCTACTACTACTACTACTACTACTACTACTACTACTACTACTACGACTACTACTACTACTACTACGACTACTACTACTACTACTACTACTACTACGGCTACTATTACTACTACTACTACTACTACTACACTACTACTACTAACACTACTACTACTACTACTACTACTACTACACAGCACAACCACTACCACAACCACGACCAACTACTCATACTACGACCACTACTACTACTACTACTACTACTACTACTACTACTACTACTACCACTACCACCACCACCACTACTACTACTACTACTACTACTATCCTTTCCCATTGCCCCGCCACGTCCCTCACCCGAACTCGGCGCGCTCTTCTATCTGCGCCGAACTACGACTACTACTACTACTACCACTACTACTACTACGACTACTACTACTACTACTACCACTACTACTACTACTACTACTACTACTACTACTACTACTACTACTGCTACTGCTACTGCTACTACTCCTGCTACTACTACGACTACTACTACTACTACTACTACTACTACTACGACTACTACTACGACGACTACTACTACTACTACTACTACTACGATTACGAATACTACTAGTACCATTGCGACTACTACGGTTACTACTACTCCTATTGCTACTATTGTTACTACTACTTTTACTACTACTACTACTACTACTACGACGACTACTACTACTAGTTTTACGACTACGACGGCTACTTTTCCTCTCATTACTAGTACGTCCACTACTATTACTACTACTACTACCACTATGAGTATTACTCCTTCTACTACGACGACGACTACTACTACTACTACTACGACTACTACTACTACGACTACTACTACTACTACTACTACTACTACTACGACTACTACTCCGACGACGACTGCTACTACTACGACTACTACTACGACTATTACCCCTACTAGTACTACTACTACTACTACTACTACTACTACTACTACTACTGCGACTACGACTACTACTACTACTACTACTACTACTACTACGACGACGACGATTACTGCTGCTACTATTACTACTACGACGACTGCTACTACGGCTGCTACTACTACGACTACTCCCAGTACAACGATTACTACGACTACTCCCAGTACTACTAGTATTACTACTGCTCTTCAAAGTATTACGACTACCACTACTACTACGATTAGTATTCTTTCCCGACTACCAGTATTTCTAGTACTACTAATACTACTACGACTACTACTACTACTACGACTACTACTGCCACCCCGCTTTTTACTAATCCTACTACTACGATTTCTACTACTACTACTACTACTACTACTACTACTATTCCTACTCCTACTCCTAGTCCTACTACTACTGCCACTACTACTTCTACTATTACTACGACTACTACGACTACTACTACTACTACTACTACTACTACTACTACTACTACTAATAGTACTACTACTACTGCCACTACTACTATTAGGACTACTACTACCTCTACGACTACTACGACTTCTACTACTACTACTACTATTATTACTACTACTACTACTACTACTACCACTAATACTACTACTACTACTACTACTACTACTAATACTACTACTACTACTACTACTACTACTACTACTACTACTACTACGGCTACGGCTACGACACGTAGTACTACTGGTGCTGCTACTACGGCTACGCCTGCTACTACGACTACGACCACTACTACTACTACTACTACTACTACTACTACTACTGCCACTACTACTACTACTACTACTACTACTACTACTACTACTACTACTTTTACTACTACTACCACTGTCACTACTACGACTACTCGCACGACGACTACTAGTACTGTTGCTACTACTATAACGACGACTCGTACCACTACTACTCCTACTACCACGGCTACTACTACGACTTCTACCGCGACGGCTACGATTAATACTACTACTACTACTACTACTACTACTACTACTAATGCTACTACTACTTATACGACTACTGGCACAACTACCCTCACCACGACTACGACGACTATTACTAACAACTACTACTTCTATGACGACTACTACTACTACTACTACTACTACCACTACTACTGCGACTGCTACTACTACACATAATCCTACGACCTTTGTTACCACGGCTACGATTACTACTACTACTACTACTACTACTACTACTACTACTACTACTACTACGACTACTACTACTACTACTACTCTTACTACTACTACTACTACTACTACTACTACTACTACTACTACTACTACTACTCAACTACTACTACTACTACTACTACTACTACTACTACCACTACTACTACTACTACTACTACTACTACTACTACTACTACTACTACTACTACTACTACTACTACTACTACTACTACTACAACTACTACTAATACTACTACTACTACTACTACTACTACTACTACTACTACTACTACTACTACTACTACTACCACTGCTACTACTAGTACTACGACTACGACTGCTATTACTGCAACTCCGACAACGACGTATACTACTTATTGTAATACGACGACGACTATTTCTATTGCGACTGCTACTGCTTCTTCCACTATAAGCCATACGTACATAATTTAGCAGCACTTCTGCTACGACTACGACTACTACTACCACTGCTGCTACTACTACTACTCCTACTACTACTACTACTACTACTTCCACTACTACCACTGCTACTACTACTGGTACTACTACTACTACTACTACTACTACTACTACTACTACTACTACTACTACGATTACTACTACTACTACTACTACTACTACTACTACTGCTACGTCTACTACTACTACTACTACTACTACTTCTACTACTACTACTACTACTTCTACTACTACTACTACTACTGTTAGTACGACTGCGACGACCACTATTGCTACTACTACTGACACGGCTTTACGTATTCTTTCACCTACTACCACCACCTTTACGGCGACAGCTACTACTACGACGACTACTAATACTACTACCACTAGTAGTACTACCACTACCACTACTACTACTACCAGTACTTTTGCTACTACTACTACTACTACTACTACTACCATTACTACTGCTACTACTAGTACTAATGCTACTACCACTGGTACTGCTACTTCCTACTACTACTACTACTACTACTACTACTACGACTACTACTACTAGTCCTACTACTACTACTACTACTACTACTACTACTACTACTACTACTAATACTAATACTACGACTACTACAC